AAAATTGGGAAAGAGACATAGTTTTAAAACCCGCACCAGACTAGCTGGTTCGGACCGGGAACCGGAAAACCAGGAGTCCAACCGGTCCGGTCCCACCCCAAAGACCGGCATGTGTACCGAACCGGCACAAACCGGAGAGAACCAGTCCAGTTAAACCGATGACCAGTTTTTTTTTTGTACACTTGAAAGACTTGGAAAATTGGGAAAGAGACATAGTTTTAAAACCCGCACCAGACCAGCTGGTTCGGACCGGGAACCGACGAACCGGGAGTCCAACCGGTCCGGTCCCACCCCAAAGACCGGCATGTGTACCGAACCGGCACAAATCGGAGAGAACCAGTCCAGTTAGACCGATGACCAGTTTTTTTTGTACAAATGTCTCAACAATTGTTACTAATGGGTTTCGAACACACAACCTATTGCTCACTTGTTAGGCTATCTTCCATCTAGCTACCGAACCGGCACAAATCAGAGAGAACCAGTCCAGTTAGACCGATGACCAGTTTTTTTCTACAAATGTCTCAACAATTGTTACTAATGGGTTTCGAACACACAACCTATTGCTCACTTGTTAGGCTATCTTCCATCTAGCTACAATCCCTTTTGTTGCTTAAAGACATTATTAATTATATATTACCCCGTACTACATTCTTAAAAATATACCAATATACTTATTTTAAAAAGACTTTTTTTTATTTTTAAAATTTTAAAAATATAATGTTGAAACTGTGATTCAAATTCTAAAATATTAATGCAATTGATTCTAATATGAACTTCATATCACAAAACTATTAACCTCTTTAAATATTTTAAAAATATTGTGTAAATTATAAAATAAAAAATATAACCTCTTAATTTATAGTTTTTTATTTGTATAAATAACTATATACATACATATGTATATTGAATTTTTAAATATGCGTGAACCACTGGTTCGACCACTTGAACCACCGGTCCGACTAGTGAATCAGTAAACCAGTACCTTGACTGGTTCGGTCTCCGGTCCGGTTCTGAAAACTATGGAAAGAGATGTAAGGAAATTGTTAGAAGACACTTCACTACAAAAGTAACAAAACCTGAAAACCATGTCAATTCTTTACCAATGGGAAGGGAGTATAGTAAAATACATACAAGGACATGTTTGTGTTGCACAAAATAGGGGTTAGAACTTAGGAGTGAATAAAATGATCAGCCAAACAAGCCTTTGACATAAACCATGCCCTTTTCACTAAAATTAAGCTCCTTCCTCAGTTGCTCAACCACTACTTCATCTCCTTGAACAACAACCTCTGACACTGTTCCATTGTCACCATCAACCATCATTCTCACCTTAACCTGCTCTTTTCTGGTCGCCCCAGTCCAGTAATACACGCCCCTGTTTGTTTCCACCCACAAAATCAGTTGGATTACTTGAATATCATGTTTCAAAACAGTGGGGTTTGGATAGAAATAGATCGAGTTCTGATAGACATTTTGTCGATCACCTCGTGTGCTATGACATGAATGGACTCCTACTTTGATAAAATCAATCAGACAGAAATAAAGAAAGAAAGAAAGAAAGAGAGGTCGAAATTCAATTGGCTGAATGAATTCGTCTTCCTGAACTCACCCTTCATCACCAACCGGACCCTTTTTAATTCATTTTGGCTTCACCGTTTGTGTGTGTATAATACATATATCATCACATACTACTCCATGATGGATACTTTGAGCCTGATTTCGTGTGTTATATTATGACACTATGTTCTACGGTGCTCATTTGGCTCTGAAGTGAATCCTACGCCCCATGGCCTCTCACGTGTTATGAATCACCGAAATGCTATGGCAACATTTCGACGTAGCTAGAGGTTCGGGGTAGAAACCATTTCAGGAGCCAAAGAAACCCTGTATGACCTTCAAATGGCTTGGGGTCATGTAATGATATCTAAGGTGGGTGTCAAACACTATAGCATTTCAATTTTCAACAATCTAGTGGTGTTAGTCACGGGGTTAGGGGTGTAAGACCCATGAAATACAGTAAGACTCTCAAATGACCCCGGTGTCGTCTTATAACATTAAACAAGGCGAGTGTCAAAAGATCATTCGTTGGCTTTGAAACTTTCACACTCCCAAAACACTAATGCATCTTGCCAAAAACACACATGTGAATGCTTTTTTGTGAGTGACAATATCATGTCCCATTACTTAGTCCTTATAAAGGATATTTTGGGTATGTGATGGATGAATGGGGAAGGAAGTTGGGAGGAGGAGTGACTTACGCGAGCGGGCTAAGGGCAACAAGCCAAAACCAACGGTTTCCTACGTCCGGAAGAGCGATGGTGAGAACCAGTGAAACGCTGGCTAAGCTCACACAAGTGCAGAAAGACAACAGCGCCGCTTTCCCCCGGCTTGGGCTCATCATTCCTTCAAACCTTCCATTCACACCAAATCAGAGTCATAGTCTTCAATTACTACGTATAAGATATTAATAAATGATTGTGAATTTATGAAAATTGTTCCATAAATAGTCATTGAGGCCAAATATGAATCACCATTTTGACTTTAAAGTCAACTAAACTTGCACCCGCAATTGACGTGGTTGGAGGGATGGGTTGTGGTCGGGACTGGGAGGGGTTAGGGGTGGAAATAATCAATTTTGCGAACGGAGCACCGTAGGTGCCCCAATTTGTTCAGTTGCTTCTATAGAACCCCCGAATATGAATGTATGACAAAATATTTTTTTACAAATATGAATAAAAATTATTTATGGAATTTATTCTTTTTCTTTATTTTCTGATTTTGTGATGTGAAAATCTAAGGATAAGAAAGGTAAAGTGGACAAATAGGGATTGGGTGATGAGTACCATACGTTATCGTCTCCCCTCTGTCCAACACCACAAAATTGTTGCGAGCGAAGAACGCCTGAATCTCTCCCGCCACCCTCCTCGCCGCCTTCTTCTCCGCCTCATCCGCCGCCGTCACGAACGTCTTCCTCGCAATCTGCATTTCTCAAACAATCGATCAGCAAATCCGTAACCTAATTTCAAAATTCCAGTTCCCAAAATAAGAGCAAGCAGAGACAGACCTTGGATTTAACCGATCGTTTAATTAGAGACCAGAGACCGGGAACGGAGATGACGAAGAGGCCCAGCGAGGTGTAGTAGCTAGCTAGTGAGTATCCGCCGCCGTCTGTGGCGGCGGCGAGCAGGAGGAGAGAGTTCTGGAGCCGGAAGTGGTCCGCGATTTGATGAGGGGCGGCGGCGGAGAGGTGTTGGAGGGCTTCGTAGTCGATGGAATTGAAGGGAGATGCCCCGACGAGTGTGAGGCTCTTGTTGGTTCTCGGTCCGGCGGTTGCCGGAGGAACTCGGCCCAACCGCCATGGACGGTGGGTACCAGGGGGGTTATATAAAGGAGAGAGTAATAGTTTTGTTGCCATTGTTAACTTGGAAGGCAAACTGGCTGCTACTTTGATTTTATGTACTACCTCCGTCCCGCTATATTCGTCCACTTTTGACTTTTGAAACTGTTCATCTAAACACTTTGACTCATCAGATTCTCTCAATGTGTAAGCCTAAATATAATCATGTGTGATCCAAAAAATTGCTCGTGGGTGACACGGGTTTTGTTGAAATAACTCTTAGGTCCTCTATTTTCAAAAAGGCAGCAGAGATCCTTACATTTTGTTGTAATAACTAGAAGGGGACATTTCATCCAATATTTCATCTATAAACGTTAATAAATGTATTTTTTCCTATTCTTTTCTAAATGTTTTAAGGTAATAAATCTTAGGTCGCTCCTTTTTTTATTTCTTTGTTTTTCTTTCATTTTGTTACTATTTTTTAAAGTGTTATTTTAAAATTTCTCCTATAAAATCGTATAANTCTATTTTCAAAAAGGCAGCAGAGGTCCTTACATTTTGTTGTAATAACTAGAAGGGGACATTTCATCCAATATTTCATCTATAAACGTTAATAAATGTATTTTTTCCTATTCTTTTCTAAATGTTTTAAGGTAATAAATCTTAGGTCGCTCCTTTTTTTATTTCTTTGTTTTTCTTTCATTTTGTTACTATTTTTTAAAGTGTTATTTTAAAATTTCTCCTATAAAATCGTATAAGAATTCAAAATTGTTTATATTATATTAAAACAAATGAAGTAAAAAAAATTCTAAAAAAAGAAATAACAAGGTAATGGCAAAATAGGAAAAACGGTATTGGAAAAATAGGAAAAAAATACATTTATTAACACTTACGAATGATGTATTAGATGAAATGTCCCCTCTCAGTCATTACAAAAAAATGTAAGGACCTCTGCTGCCTTTTTGAAAATAGAGGGACCTGAGAGTTATTTCAACAAAACTCGCGTCACCTGCGAGTAATTTTCTGTGTGTGATCTTGTTTGATTTGTCTTAAGATATAGATTATTAATATATAATTTCTATAATTTTTTATTATACAAATTACAAGATAAAATGGATTAAAGAAATGTATTGGATGGTGTGTAAAAATGAAAGTGGACAAATACTCTGGGACGGAGGAAGTACTCAACAAGCTGATGTCCTCCTTTTTAGTCTTTGAATGAAGTATTTTTTTAGATTTCAAAAGTATGTGGGTATTCAATTCAGATTTTAAAAAGTGAAATTTGCACTAAATAGGACTAAAACATAATGACTTTCTCAATGTAAGATTTAAACTTTTTTATTCCCTAAATAGGACATAATAATGATCTAGTGGGAGGAATAGTGTCCAGTAATGATAAACATTTACTTGAATAATGACTACTTCATAATTACCAAAGGTCCTACATTGGAAAATAAAAACATATGGTCTTACATTGGGGAAGTCATTATGTTTTAGTCTTATTTAGGTAAATTTCTCTTTTAAAAACTCACTTAAAATCTAGATGTATTCAATTCAGATTTTAATATATCATTCTAAGTTTAATGGTACTAGACTCGTACCCGTGCGATGCACGGGCTATTAATTGACATATAATTACTCAATGTTTTGAATAAGGAAAAATGTTACAAAAACCTAAAAGATTATATAAATTGATAAAATAGATTACAGAAGGCGAGTTTTGGAAGTTTAATAAGTTTTGAAACACTTCTTTATAAACTACATTCATAATTTGATTACATGAAGGTCTTTATTGCAAATCAAAATCTTTAACAGTTTCCGTGCATTGCACGGTAAGAATATTTAACTATTATTTTAAAGAAACAATGAATAAATTTTACAGCATATGATATAAAAAATTGGATTCAAATAAAGTGGATGGGTGAGAAATTTAAAAAAATTATATGATAGATAAGAACTTAAAAAATATTTGAGTAAACACCAATAAAAATAGAGGTCACTTACCATGACATTGATTACCATGACATTGATTCAATCAATGTCATGGGATGACCCGAGGATGCTTCGGTGTCCCGTTCATAAAATTTACAGTTCCTACCTCACCAATCCCCCAGTAAACCCCCCACCCCGTGCGTTGCGCGATTAATTATTTATCTAACAAAATTAATACTTCGAGGATATATTTATTCTAAAAAAATTTAGAAGATGTTTTTATAAAAAGCACAGTTCGAGTATTTGCTTCTCTCAAGGTGTAATAGCTTCTCCATACGCTCTCTCAAATCACACATGGAGTCATGTACTTTTTTTACTTAGAGGGTTCACATTTTCACCTATTCTTTGCAAGTATAAATCAGTTCTTTAATAATCTTTAGGGAACAGTCACATGGCTTTCAAGGTAACATGTAAATTATTATTACCCGTAATCAAACAAATACATCAATGTCAAATACTTAACCATAATGATGTCAATACTTAATCTTTAGACTATATCAAATAATTATATCAAATAAATAATTGCAACTCAAAACCAAAACATACAATAGAGTTCAATAACATGCCACATAGTAAGAAAAGACGTGTGGCGAGATGATCCACAAATAATCCACAAAATCCATTCAGCAAGCATCACCAGCAATAAGAGGTACCAACCTGTTTCCCAAGTGTGCAAAACAGCTCCCATTCTTTTGATAGGGAGTAATTCCAAATGTTTCGTATCAAAATGCAGAAAGACTTCCAAAGCAAACCATTATCAATCCAGGTCCAAGCAATAGTAGTCTAGGTAAAGCACAATAAGTCAATAACCATCCTTAAGTTTAAGCAAAAGGCATCGATGTATTTGTAGGATACAACCAAACCTTCATTCCACAACAGCCCCGTTGTGAGGAACATGTCCAGCAAGTCTAACAGCAGCAGCATATCCATCGTCATGTCCAAGCTCCAAGGGTCCCACTCTAAGTTTCAAATCCAATTGCAGCCCCAACATAGGAGTCCAGAAGTAGCAGCCCCATTCTCCATGTAGAAGTAGGTGCGGCAGCCCCATTCCCAAAGCAGCAGCGGGTCAGGAGGTCTTCCAAGGCCAATGCTGATGGCTATACCAGCACCTCTGTCCAGCAGCCCCGTCCAGTTGCCCCCATTTCCAAAGCAGCAGCAAGTCGTTGAGAGCCCCCTGTCCAGCAGCTTTCCAGCAACTTCCATGAATTTCCAGCGCCAAGGTCCAGCCATGAGTGAAGCAGTATCTCCATGTCCATATTCAGCAAGACCAAGTATCCAACAACATTTCACAACAGCAAGAATCCAGCAGAGATGTCCACAACTCTGCATTTACCAGTTATGGAGTCATGTGGATGGTTAGATGTAAATACATTGTCTAAAATTCCCAACTCTGGCATCACCAAATATGCCTTAGTCTGTGTCTAACTCACCTGAACATTGAGAGGACTCTATTTTATTAAACATTATTAGATGTTCTCATGATAATCATGAGTGTTTTAACGACTATAAGTTTAGTGTTTTTTAGAGAGTGTAGTGTTTAAACATGCATGTTTTAGTTACTGATACAAAATATAATATTACTCCATTGGTTGTATACAGAGCTTTGTTTCTTAACATGATTTTATCCCCAAAAAGAGTCATTCTTAATGAAGACAAACTACTCCCTCCATCCCATATTAAGTGAGTTTTGACTGGACACGAACTTTAATAGAGGTAATGAACGGATATCATTTCATAAAATATTTAGGCAGATAAAATTTTGTGGTGTTCCTTTGTCTATTTTTGAACAGACTAAGGCAGACAGATTTGAAAAGCAGATGGTGGGAGTAGAAGATCAGTGACGTCAAGCTAGACTTTTGAAATTTTAGCCAACCTACCATAGATTCCAGCGAGTTGAAAACTAAGAGAGCGTAATTTCAGCTCCCTTTTCTTCCAATTTGGGGTAGTTGTCCTTATTGCCCTCCTTTGAAACGGATGTGTGTGCGTGAGATTGATGGGGGTAACCGTCCAAACATTTAGGCAAAAATAAAGGAAAATTTTTTACCCAATGTCCAACCCAGCTAATAACCCGGCCCACTTACACCTAAATTTTCGAAATTGCAAATTTTTTTGTTGCTTTTGTAAATAGTAAGATAATTCTAGCAGCTTTTTTTCCTTTTTAGAGTGAATAATTTATCGACAACCAACTGCATTTTACTCACTTGCACCCATACCATTCTTCAGACATACTTTTCTTGTTTATGTATGTTGACTGTTCTTATAGAAAGAATCTACTAACTCACATAACGTCACAATTAACTTGTACCTATCTATTTCCCCAAAATGAGTTCAAGAAGAATAAAATACTGCTTAAAGCTCACAGATAGAGACAAAGGAAGTTTGAGCATCATACCTGCGACAATGACCTCTCTAACCTGAAACATAACAAAAGATTTTTAAGAAAAATTGAATATTTGTTTATAGAAAAAATCTTCAAACATTCAAAAAATTTGGAAAGAAATTTTTGAAATTATAAGGGAATGCAGAACTTTGATATTGATTATTTTCCATAGGATGAACTATAGCTTCGAGTGAGAACACTGTTAATGCATGATTTAAAGCAAGATGAGTTAAATGACACGGGAATGACAATAAGGTCTACAAAAAAATGATTAGCATTAATGACTCCTAATACGATATTCAAACTATGGAAAATGATTGATAAAAGAGCTGCAAATGAAGAACAAACATGAATATAACATTGCACTTCTTAATCACTTTCTTTTCAGAAAAAAAGTCGTTTCCTCATAAGACACTCCAACAACAAAAGTGATGATGAAATTAAAATTATAGTCTCATGAGTTTTACCTGATTTTCATTGCCACCAGATGCAATTCCTCTCTCATCAAGAGACCATTTCAAGGCACACACCTGAAAGTCTTAGTTATAAGAAAGTGAGGTTCAAACTTTGCGAAGGATTAAAAATTATCTATGGTTTTGAGAAGCCCAGATTTGACAAAATAAAACAAAAAATTTTATACCGACCATCTCCAGGATATAAATCCGCCTGCATCTCCTAAAGACAATATGAACTGGGGAGCTGATCTGAAGTTATTGTGGATGGAATTGCACGATGTTCTAGCTGCCATATTGCTGGCATAAAAAAACATTTTAGCTGCCATAGTTGATATTGGTTTCTAGCATTTTTCATACATCTCGTAAACAAAAAAAATCCCAACATAATAATGATGAATGATAAATAGATGGATCTTTGAGTAAAATCAGAGAAAATAATCTCAAAAGAAATGGAAGTAAAGGAAAAAATCACATCTTTATTTAATGTAAAAAGAATAAAAACTCACGCTTCTCCGACTCCTAGAAGCTTCTTTGAGGAATTTCATCAAACACATAGCATGCAATCTAGATGCCAAAATCAATTTCTTTTTCTTCAACTGCAAAGTTAGATAGCCCATTAAGTAGAGAATCAAAGATAAGAAGAAAAAGAGAATGGAGTAGAAGACAACATACCTATCGCCAACATGCCTAGCCATAACCTCGAGTTCGTCCTCCACTGAGTTCGGACAGCCGTTAACATACCTTCACTATGGTGAAGATCTTGATATTTTTTCTCCACTGATACTGAACAAATATGAAGATTGTGAAGCGGGTGTGATAGAAGGAGGAATGAGACGCTGGTGAAGATCTCGATAGTGAAGCTTCCCTAATAAGCTGGGGGAGAAGCATACCTGATACCTTGGTCTAATTTTTTTTTTTGCCGTTTACTTTCTAAACTAATGGGCTTCATAACCGTACACTGAGCCCATTAAACAGTGACCCGACCCAAAAATTTGGGCGGGAGTACTGTTCATTTTCGGCTCTCACCATTGTATATATAGAGATAGAGATTCAAAAATCAATGGATTTTGATAGATTTTTGTAAAATATGGATTTTGATGGATTTTGGACTTTGGGTATAAATTGAAATCTAAACCCAAAATCTGACAAAAAATTGAAAGATTTTGCAACTCCACGGCTCTTGGACTAATCTTCTTCACGGCGACCACTTCTTGTTTTCTTATCTCTTCTATGAGTTCTTCTCTATTCAATTCAAGCAAGATTTTTGGAGGTCGGAAGCATCAAAGTCTGGCTTCTATGGTAGACGAGGATGCATTGGGGAGCCGCTGTCCATTTGGTGTTGATGCGGGAGGGATTCCCTCATCCGAGTTAGACACCATCTTTTTGGTGGTTGGCAACGATGGTGGCGGCAGAGGCGGCGGCGGCAAGGGATCGACGGCAGATGCGGCGGCGGAAATGGTTTGCTAGGACTTCCTAATGTGACACAATGTGGATGTGAATTAGGGTTCAAAGAGGTATGCAAAATATTACCATAAGAATAATATCATCACAAAGCCCAATTCTCCATCAATGCCAGTATCCATCATTCTATTATAATTTCTATGTAAGTATAGAATTATGCACCTGAAAAGTGTTTCTATTTGTATATCCACTCACTTGCTCGGCCTCCGGATTCATCCATGTCTATAANCAAATTTATCTGCATGGTTGAATCAATGACTGATCTCACCTCTTCCATGTACTTCCACATCACATTTAGAGCCAGAAGTTTTTTTCCCATGAATTCCTACAAAAAGAACATTATCTTAGTGTTTGGTTCAATCAAAGTGGAAAAGAGACAAGGACTTCTCCTCACTTCCCTTGTTAGGTGGGTACAGAAAAAAGGAGGCAAATTTATTTTTACATTTCCCTCCTTTTCTCTCCTGTTCCTCCCCTCCAAAACCCATTGAGTTGCATCACACATTTTTCTAATTCTCTCTAATTATCATATTATGTTGAAAATGAATTTTCATGATTATATACCAATTACAATTATATGTATATTATTTGCAACTAAATCTTAAATGTTTCAAAAAATAATGTACAATGGAATTATTGAAAAAGATTATAAATTTTTATACGATGCCATATATTGAAGCATATGCCAACGATATTGGTAAATAAATATATTTTACTATCTCTATTATTGATTGGTTAAATTTTTTCTTCTATTACATTGAATAGAATAAGGGTAGTATCGTCTACTATACATTCTTTTCCCTCTTCTCTCATCCTTTACCAAACAACCAAGTACTCCGTATTAAAATATCTCCCATCTTCTTACACTCTCTCTACTCTATCCAGAGACCAGAGTCCAAAAGGGGAGACACGGATCCTCTCTTTTTTTCAGCAATATTGAACTCTCAATAGAATAAGGTTCCATCTATTTATGAGAAAAGGTTACTTTCATCATCTGAATATATACAAGGGACAAAAAGGGGAAGTTGATATACCTTCTTAATCAGTTGAACATCATAGGACCGGCCAAACTTGTTCCGTATTAGAGTTGCCAGGTCAATTCCACTAAACAAAGAATCGTCATTGCCAATGGTTCTTTCGAAGTTAGCTCTTAATATATCATTATTTACCTGAACCTCATGTCAAAGTTATAATTCATCTTCAATTTTCAGTACATATTACGTTAACCACATTTTATCTATGATTTTGTAACACACAAATAATAACTTCAATTACTTTCTATATACCATGAATGGGAAACAAATTCGCTATCAAACAAATGTGAGAGGCTTGCGGTGGTGGACTGCTGGATGTGACAGTGGGTAGAGTAAGACCTAGGAAGAGTTGAAAGAAGGTGATTAGGCAGGATTTACGACTTCAATTTTTACTGAGAATATCACCTAAGATAGGAACATGTGGAGATCTAGGATTTTTTGGATATGACCTGGTAAGTTTTTATCCTAGTCCATAGCTTGTTGTACTCCCAATGTCCCACTATGCTTATCCCATTTTTTTTCACTTTGGTTCATCCCAACTTTATGACTTTCCATACCCAGTCATATTAATGTAGCCAAAAATCACTTGCCCTTTACAAACTCTATGTCATTCACACAATATTACCTTTTCTCAATTTTGTGTCACATTCACCAGTCCCAAACTTAGCAGGACGGAAGGATTAACTCTTTGTTAAACTGGGTCTATGTCCCCCTAAGTAGCCCTTAAGATCCCAGTTTTACTCCCGTTCATATATTACACTAAAACTCAAATACTCTAACACATTCCCTTAGCTCAAATTTGGATTTGCAGACGAAACGGTGAACAAATGGGCTCAAACCGGCTCAAATGGGTTGCCTCTAACCAAGTAACATCCAATGGTAGACGCCCCACAAATCACCATTGGACCTCCCACTTACATACTTGACTCAAACCAAGTTGCTAATAAACAATCTTTATATCCTATTATTCCAGTAAAAATGTAAAATCCCACAAAAAGTAGGGTCTAGGAAACTAAATACAAAGTTATGGAATAAAAATAACAAAACTAGAAGGAATTCAAATATCCAACTTACAGTGTCTTCTTCATCTTCCAAGTCATCTGAATCCATGGCACCATCTCTTTTAGTAGCAAAAGTTAGGCAAGGTTTTCTCGAAACTCGGTTGTGGAAACACACAAATTTCTTACATCTTGGCGAAAACCGTTCTTTGCAAACAAGATTGAAATGACTAAAACATGAAGTTGAGAAACTTGTTTCCTTCCAAAGATGCTTAGAAACGTTTCTTGAGCAAATACATGGAAAGTTCCCAATGATGGTTGTCATTTCTGGATACATAGTTCTGAAAGTGTTAGGTGTTCGTTGGTCCTTTTAAATATATGATACATTCAAGCTTCCCGGGTTATATTGATTTAGATGCCATGCATTCAGAGGGATTGGACATCATAAAGAAAATATAAGAGAATGCCTTCGAATTCACACACACAAACACCTATTCCCTTGCTCATTAAATAGACAAAGCGTGAGTTGAAGCAAATTCGAATAATGTCATGGCATGGTCACTCAACCGGACTATAAAACACTTGTGTCAAACCACACTAAAATATTGAATTCAATCGACTGGTTAGTTCAGCTCACGATCTTATTAGCTCATTATTCTTTCTTCAATATTCAAATGTTGAACACATTAACACATCGGGCATGTATGGATAAATAAACATACTCCCCTAACCATTAGTGGCCAACACTACAGTCTACACCATCACGGAATGGAGTTCCACAAATTGTCCATAGAATCTCAGTAATTTTAGTTCAAAATTCTACCCTATGTCAAAATTAAAAGCAGTTCAACGCCCTCGCGTGGTACGAAATTCATTATTACAAGATTCTAAAAGTTTAAACAATCTTAAATCACTAATTCACTAAAGTTAGAAACATAGATTTAAAAAAATAAAAAAATTATAATCCTATTATAACCACAAGATTGAGCTTTCGGTTGAATTGATGGATGGTATACGAATTCAAATGTTTGAAATGAAAATCAGACGCCGGAAACAAGATTTTGGCTTATTTTTCTGCAGTCAGTATATAATGATTCGTCAATACTTACAGTGAAGATGGCGAGGAACGTGGTGGGAGCTTGAAGAACAGAGGTGCGTGGAAGGAGGCGGTTTGGTTCGGTTGATTGGACGAAATTCAATCGCTTCGGGCTTTGGTACCCCAAAACCCATACCTTCCGACCTCAAAATTCACGTTATCCTGACTAGCCTAAACGAATGGAATAGAATCGAATACCCATATATTTGAATTTGTATTTGTTTAGTTTTTTCGAATACGAATCCGAATTCGAATATGAGACGAATTCAAAATAAGATTTGAATAAATATTTGATTAATATTCGAATAGTTATCGAATCATAAACGAATATTTAAATAATCATACTATGTAATTTATATGATGGACCAACATCAATTTGTAATTTAACTTACGATACTCTTTATACTATATTATATTCCCTATATAAAAACATTAATACATTTGCATCTTACACAAATTATATTTTATAAAATATAACTATTAAAAATCATATGCTTTAGATTTTTGTGTTACGTTAATTTATTGAATTCTTAGTATTTTAAATACACTTGATACTACTCCGTATATTACTTTGCTTGACTTTTGATGTTGAAAACATGGTCTGGCATATATTCGAATATTCGAATATCATCCGAATAGAATATATCTCTATTTGTATTTCTATTTGATTAATATTCGAATCAAAAATAATATTTGAATTTGAATTTGTATTTGAATAACGCGAATTCGAATCATCATATTCAAATACGAATCGCGAATCGAATTTAAAATATTTGATTTGTTTACATCCCTAATCCGAACTCACCGGACTAACCCGAAAATATTGAGAAGGCATATGGTAGAATCGGATATATCGTACATTTGGGTAGTACTCATTCTGAAATAGAGTAGTACTCATTTTTTGCACAAATATAATTAGCGCGGTACTCATTCTAAAATAATGCAGTACTCATTTTCACACATTGGTTCAATATAATTATAATATTCATCTACAAATAATGTAACGTTCATTCTAAAACAAAACAGTACTCATTCTCAAATAACTTAGTGTTCATTCTCATGTAAAATGAAATTCATATCATAAATAATTTCTTGGTTGTACCCAAAATTGGGTACAACCGGATGCACAATATAATTTGCCGAAAATATTGGATCTTATTTTATTATGGTAATCATAAATTCTAGTGAGATGAAATAATATCTAGTAGTTGCATGGAATCAAACTCGGGTCTTACCCCTAGGCCTGGACACGGTACCGGTTTGGTACCGTCACCGGCACGGTACCGCCGGTACCGAGTACCGTTACCGACACCGGAGACGACCAACCGGTTCCTGGAACCGGTACCGGTACCGCCCCAACTGGTACCGTCTCCGGTTCCCAATTTTCGTCACCGGCACCGCCGATACCGGTGCCGGTTTGTAATTTTTTTTTTTTTGCTCCTGCAAACGGTAACCTGCAAAAAAAAAAAGAAAAGTCAGTGGTGGGGGGGGCGACCTCAACGGCCTTTGAGCCGTTAGAGGGAGGGGG